ATAAATTAGATAAATTAGATAATAATTTTATCTATAGTCTGAGTCTCATTCTTGTAAAAAATTTGTAAATTGGCTTCAGTCTGTGTCAACTCATGTAGTTGTCTATAACAAATTATTAATAAAGATAAAGACAAAACCTCATCTTAATACCAAAAAAAAAAAATAACTAAATTAAATTTATATATTTAAAAATATATATTTGAAAGAATTTATTAAGAATTTTATAATATACAAATTAGAAAAGAAGAGAAGAAATAAAATAAAATTAAAATTAAAAATTAATTAAATATTAATTTAGATGAATATAACAAATATGATTTAAATAATGAAAAAAAAGTAACTCTTTTTGATAATTATTTGAACTAAATTTTTTAAAAAGTCAAACTACAGAAAAATAATATAATTAATATATTAAATTTATGAAAACATTTTTAAAGTATTGTATATATATAATTAAATATTAAAATAGAGTTAAAAAGAAGTTACAACTTTGTAGTAACAGTTTTTTTTTTTTTAATATTAAAGATAAGTACTTGTAATTCAGATTTTTATTGATAATATATTTTAGCTTTGTGATTGTATTATTACAACAGCCACAGAGGGCAAATATAGAAAGAGTATATAACTAGCTATTTATACAACTTTAGTCATTATTTAATTTAAAATAATCTGCTCAAAGGTTCTACATTAGCTAATATACCTAAAGCCTACTTGTGAACCCTCTATTTAAACACTTTGGTTCTTGTATTTACTTACTTACCTATCCTATCAACTGTCTCAGTTTTTACCAATATATATTTCTATGATTACTAGGTCTTTAAAGCAGTTTACTCATATAGAGAATCTTTAACCTTGTACTAAACTCACCAGAGCTTTCTATTATCCAATTTTCAACTAACCTAGTATTGTTATAGCTGAGATCAATACTTGCAATCAAGATAACTTTTAAATTATTACATTCTTGTAGAGTTTATACAACCTCAGTACTTCTTTTTACAATTTCATCAGTATCTTGTACATTCTTGTAAATCCTTCTATATTACTAATCTAGTTAGTTCTGTATAATGTAACTTTATATTCAGTTCAACTAATAGCCAGATTGGTGGATCTCTTTACCTAGGTTTCTTGTTTATATAGGTCATCTGCTTTAGATTTCTGTCTTTATATCAAAATTTTCACAGATAATATCATCAAAGATCATACTACCTCCTTACTTGAGATTTCCAAACAGAGCTTCTTATAAAGTATATACTTTTTGGATTTATTTGTGTGATATTGTATACTCCCAAGTTAGTCTTGATATAACTAGAATTACAGGATTACAACTTCAGATATTCTATACAAGTTGTTAAAATAGAATCATTTTTCAAATTTTCTATTGCCAGTAGAATTTGAACTCTGGATCTACTGTTTAAAGAATGATAACCCAACCACTATACTAGAATCACCATTTTCTTTATAGTAACAGTTTAAAAGTGTTCTAAAATAATAAAAGAAGTAGTTAGTAAAACCAAAGGTTTTTATCAAGTAAACAACAAAATTAAATATATTAATTTTATACAACTGTAAAATCTATAAGTAACATCTAAAAAGATCAAGAACTTATAAAAGCTACCAAGTTTATTTTTTATTTTTACTTTTTTTTGAGAAAAATTTTATAAAAAGTAGATAATTTAGTTTACCTTTCCTAAAGATTGGCATATAAAATTACCAAAATAGTTAGTAGTATTTATTTTCTAAATAGGTTTGTTAACAATATAAATTAAAAATAATACAGTAATACAAATATAATTATATATATAATTCAAGTTACTAGAAACTTGTTAATACTGTCTTCAGACTAACTAGTGCCTTAAACCAATTCTCTATAATTAAGTCAAAGTTTATATAGTTTTTTGTTAAATAATCAAAATAAATAAAAAAATAGTAAAGTTATTTCTATTTAATAAAATTTATAATTTTTAAAAAACCTAACAAAGGCTTATAATTATAATTATCTGATATTTATAAATTGTAAGTTTCATGTACTTTCTTTTTCTTATTTATTCTTTTTTATTTTTTAATCTGTATCTTTTATTATTTATTTTTATATATCTGTTTTGTTTTTTATATAAATATTTTTTTTTGTTTTTTGTTTCTTTATAAAAAAATGTTATCAGATTGGTGATATTCTATTGTAAAACAGCAGTCAGATGAGCAATTTATCTCTAACTGAAATAGTGCAACAGGTCATACTTAGATATCATCTAAGCAGTTAGGTGATACTAGACTTGTATATTAAAATATTTCATATAATTTGTATAGTTTCAAGAATCCTAATAAAATACTAGTGTGATTGCTAAAATTAAAAAAAAACATTTAGATAATGAACAAACAACTATATAGAAAATTTTAAATTTGTTAAAAATAATTGATTTAGAAAAAAATATTTTTAAAATACTAATTAGAATCAAATAACAAAAAATTCAGATAATGAAAATGAATTAAATAGTTTTATTTAAGATTTAAGATTTAGAAAGTGAAGATTATAATCCAAGTAAAATAACATAAAAGCATTTTGATGATATTAATAAAATTTATTATTATTAAAAATTAAATTATTATTATTTAATTTTATTTTATAAAATATATAAATTTTTTCCTTAAACAATTAAGACTTTTTTATTTATATATATAATATAAAATATTTTATTTATATTATGTATTTTTAGTATTATTAATTTTTTATATAAATATATTTTTATTAAATATTTTATCAAAATAAATTTAATTTAATTTATATATTATAATTTTAAAATTTTCAAATTATAATTTTGAGGTTTCAGATTATAGTTTCGGGGTTTCGGTTTTTTTTAAAAATCCGAAACTAGTTTCGGATTAATACTTTCCGAAACTAGTTTCGGGTAGGTTTCGTTTCGAGTGCTAACTCTAATGCACACCTTGGGACTGAACTTTAACGACGTGAAATCAGAGAACAATAAGAAGTGCGTATATTTGGCCCAAATTTAAATGTGCATTTAGAGAGGGTGTGTACTTATAGAGGATGTACTTTTGGAGGTTTTACTGTATATAATTAAATTGATTAAAATAATTTAAGTGATCGATAAATTTAAATAATTGACCCCAATCAAATTAATTCTGCTATATCATGTGGAAAAGTTACTTTAACAATCGATATAAAACTGGAGAGCTTTATTAATTCAAATTAACTAAATTGAACATTACATTAACACAGCTTCTTCATTTAATAGTAATAATATCGATACTAATATTAGTTGTTATCATACGTAATATTTAGTATGTATTTGAATTCTTGTGAAGCAATTTACTTTAGTCACCCAACACCGGTTAACTTTGTTGGATTTATATTATATTCTGTTTGAACACTGTATGCAAATGATTAAGTATTTGAGTAATACTCAGCAAAAAAAAAAAAATCTATATGTTACTCATCTAGTTTAGTTTACATTACTGAATAACACATTTTCTGATAAGACTCAGTAAAAAAATTTTAATAACATTGTCAGGTAAGTTATCCAAACTTTGTCTTTCTGAAATAATCCGAATAGAAAATGAATGAGCGTAAAGGTTGAGAACAAAATTTGAGCAAAGTGCCGAGATAATTCGAGAATGCCTTAATACTAAATTCATAGAGAGGCCGATTCTTATTCAGCACTAAGTTACATCGGTTAAAATTAAATCAACCCTGGAAAAATGGTTCGGGAATGTGATCACATTATAATATAGCACACATTGCAATATAAAATATTAAAGGAGTGTTAAGAAATGTATTTTCCCTATTAAAGAAGCATGTATGCCCTTATTAAAAGCGTATCTGCTTTATATAAGATGTAAGAAGTGAGCATGTTTGCATTTAATGAAAAATGGATTTCGCGTTTTCAGTGGGAACTTTTTATACCAGATTAGACTTGTGGATTTTAAGTATAATCATAATCCGTAGAGATAGGTCTCTGCTTCGTATATTATCGTTATTACAACTGCAAATAAGTGAATACTAAGAAATGGCAAGAGCTACAGACCTTGTACGCACACAAAGCTTCTAAAGATATAAACACTTCATTCTTCCATATTTACTACAGGACTATTTTTTAAAATAACGTAATTAAAATAAAATAAAATATTGAATGGTATCAATTTATTTATAAAAGTCTGTTATACTCTACCTTAAATAATTCCGTTCCCATTTCTTTATTTAAAGTTTTGTGTATTTGTTATTAAAAAATGAAAAAATTCGACCCCTGTCGCATTTACAACATAAATTCGTGATTTCTAGAGTTCTTGAATCAATTTTTTTTAATAACTTAAATACGTATATACATAAGTTACAATTTGAAGCTACAACCATGAAATGTGAATTTAATAATACTAATTATCATTATCTTTATATATACAGAATTTGACAAATAAATTATATATAAATAAAGGAAATTGATATTTCCACACCCTTTTTTGATATTTCAAACCCTTGTTAATAAAAGTCAATATAGATTATTAGGGTTTTGATTGGGACAAATATCAATCCTCTGAATAAATTATATATAAATAAATTATATATAAATAAATTAACTTATTAGATCCAAACAAGATCATATTATCTCCCAAACACCATAATGTTCATCACTTTCATATAAATTAGAATACATTCCTAATGCCCAAATACAGTAGATAAATTTGTAATTTGAATGATTTATCGGACAATTTTTGCCAATCATACTTTCAAAAGATTCTTTCTTCCACTCTCCAGTTGGAAGTTGTCTTGATTTAATAAGCTGATATAATAGTTTTAAAGAAGCATAGAAAAAGTTAAAAAGGGTGACAGCTTTTAATTTGATTTTATAAATGAGATTACCTCAATTCCGTTTCTAATAGGTTCACTAAACGGATATTCAGCATACATTAGTCCGAGCAATGCCCAAGCCGTATTAACAACTTGCGTATTTGAGTGTTGTATATACTGTCCTACGCCGGAAGAAGACTAACAACATTTCAAGAAATAATTAAGTTTAAAATCGACACTAATGATCAAATTTTCAATCATATATACCTTGTAATTTTCTCCCCATCCACCATCCTCACGTTGTTTTGAAATCAAAAAGTCACATGCTTTTTTTACGTATTCACTATTATCAAAATGAAATCGAGTTTATTATAAATTTAAATTTTCAATATTTAGCGAATCTAAAAATCTCGCTCACCTATTCTCATAAGTTTCTCCAACACTTGATAGTCCCTGAAGTGCGGACATTGTACCATACGTAAAGCAAATACCCCATGATCCAAGCCAACTACCATCTTTACGTTGCATCCTATGAATATATTTCGTTGCTTTTGCACAGACTTTTCTAAAAAGAATTTATTGATATATATCAAAAATTAGTCTAATCAATAATACCAATGATTGTATAAATAAATAAATAAAATTTACTCAATATCATCAACGTAACGGTCCACGAGATCAAATTTTGAAAATATTCTTAAAGCAGTCATTACAGAACTTGTACATTCAACGTAAGTATGTTCGATTAAGGTATTTTCAAGAAGTTCTGAAGGATTTATCAACTCCATCCAACAATAGCCACGAATATTTTCAAAACGTGAAAATCCTCCATTGGTATGCTGTTTTCTGATTAACGTGTCAATTGTAGAATGAATTCGCTTTTGATTAATTAATGGTGGTGTGTAACTTATTGAATGTAGAAAGTTAAAATTAGAGATCAATCATTAATAGAAAAATATGACTTAATCAAGAAATAAAAAACTTACTCTAATTTACCCTGAAGAAGTAATATTGCTTTTAAAGCTTCAGCAGTACAATCATTGGTAGCCCACCCTTGTTCTCTTGTACTAAAACCCCATAATCCTTTTGAAGGTTCTCTCCAACATTGTTTCATATATGTTGGATTATTTTTTATTTGTGAATCATCTAAAAACTCAAGTGCTTTAATCATTGATTCATGATTTTCTGGATCATTTGCCAAACCTTTTTGAAATATAAATAAATAAATAAATAACATGTAACAAATATTTGTAAGAGTTCTTTTAGACATTCTTAATTTTATTACCTGATTCTATTATTGCTTGCACTGCGAGTGAAGTATCCCAAATTTGTGATCCATCAACGGAATTCATTAACATTCCATTTGGAGTCATCCTAAACATTGTATAAAAATAATTAAATACTTTTACGAGCAGCATTAACATAACAAGTGAACTCTAAAAAAAATACGAGAACACGAACCATATATAATTTGCAACCTTATCTTTCATATTTAAAAACATTTCAGACTCTGGACCCTCTTCATAATAAGCACAAACCAAACGAAATAATTTATCAATCTAATAAATCATTTAAAGATTTTATATGTTAACAAATTAGATGGCTTTGCCTATAATAGAAAAAATTTCAACATACCGCACAAACAGAAACATAGTTAGAATCAATTTCTTCAAGTTTCATTAATTTATAAACTTTTTTTAATGCGATATTACGAAGGCCCAATAAATTTTGGAAATGATTCCAAATATTTGAAACCGCTTTAATGATAAAAAATTAGTCAATAGCATTAGTTTTATTTTTCTTTATGGTCACCCGTAACCAATAATGGGCTAAAAAAAACTCACTATTAGTAATAGCTAAAATCGGAGAACGAGGAAAATATACATCCGCCTCACAAACATTGCCTTTTGCAGCAGACCAATTAATTTTATCATATGGTTGAACAAATAACTCAAGTCGTAATTGTTCAATTAACGGGCACATTTTCTCAGCCACTTTACGGCCATAAAGATAACTCATTGAGAGATGGGTAGCACGTATTGGACTCCAAATGCGAGCCGGATGAAGGGGTGACTTGTATGGAAGAAGCCTTTATATGAAACATATATGAAACATATATAATGGCTTTAATTTAGTGGTTGAATGCGTATCATTAGATGGTTACAAGTCAATTTTGACAGGTTATAATCTTGACAAACAAGATCTTGACAGGTTACAATCTTGACAAACAAAATCTTGACAGGTTATAATTTCTGATAATCAAAATTCTTAAAATGGAATCAGATTCTGATTTAAGGATTTTCAGGGTTCTGATTATCAAGATTTTGACCTGTAATAATATGTATTTACCATAATTCTGGTAAAACTGGATTAACTCCTTTCCAATCATAAATATTTAGCATTGCTAACCAAAACTTTCCAAGAGACGGAATAGCTACAGCCCCACCTGTTTTAAAAGCATGATTAGGAATGAATGATCTCGGAAATACAAAGAACCGAAGAATTGACTCACCAAGTTTATGTATGAATGCTCTACTTTTAATAAGTACAGGATGCTCAGGATCCATTCCCAGAATTCTGAGCGCAACGTAATTTAAAGTTGTTCCTAGTAGATTTGAATGGTCTTCTACATGTCTAACAAAAATGAACCATTTTAAATGAATAATAAAAATATTTTTGAAAGTAACTGGAGAATAATTTCAAAACTCATACATTCCCCAGCCACCATCATCTGGATTTGAGGTATTAACTAGATATGTGATAATTTCAATTTTCCAAGCTTGAGGGATTGATAGACGAGTAATGAACGTCGAAAACACAAGTCCTGAAATCAAAAATATAGGACCACTATATTCGCCCGCCCAATGACCATCCACAGTTTGCAATTGTTTAAAGAATTTGTATCCATTGTATACGGCTTCAGAAGTTTTTAGTGGCGAGGATTCTTTTTGGTCATCATTAATTTTCTGTAGCAAATTTGATACCGTTAAACGTTGATTAAATGCTCGAGCGCATTTAAGAGATAGATACTTACATTATAAGACAATCCTAACCAATAACGATCGCATGCAGTTTGAGGCCAATTTTTTATTTCATCATTACTTTCTAAATAATGCCAAGTTTGCTTTCCATGATCCACTTCGAGTCTCCATCGTGACTTGTCGGTTGTTTCTATATTTATACCAAGATAATCCGACATTTTTTATAAATTAAGGAACAAAAATTGGTGCTAATATATGTATGTCTATAATAATAAAATATTATAATTTTAAAAAGAAATAAAAAAAGACAAAATTGAGGAATGTCAGTACATATATATTTAGATGAAGATACTGCGCCACAATCCACGCGGGAATGCGGGAATACGTCAATCTCAAATGTTATAAAATTAAATTCAACAAGGGCGTTGTATTTATTTGTTTTCCCAATGAATATGATACTATAAGGAAGTGCGTGCTTCTTCAGGATGTGATTAATAAGACAGGATTTTGTGCGTCAGATCAGGAAGTCGCGTAACAGTTCATTGTCACTTGTTTGTTTACGTGTGCACAATCAACTGACCATACGCCGACAATGTGATACGAAAGAGTTATCACAAAAGGGCATATCGATATTGATAGGCCTATCGCTATTTTTAATTTTAACCTATTTTTGAAACGTACAATAATAATCATTCCTAAATACGCCTAGCATTAGCATTGATATCGGCCGGATGCGTGACTGATAGGTTTACGATTGACAACGCCTGCGATCGTGCATACCAATTATGGTATTTAAATGTGTAACCATTACTCATACATAAAGATAAGTACATACTTCGTATTGATTATAGTATTAGTCTCTTAATTACTTTAATTGCTTATATATTATAAAAAAAAACATACATATATATAATGATATATAAAATTAGGCTTTGTATCAAAGAAAATATTCCCACAATACGATCACTATATACAGATTCCTTAACTTCACCGATCAAATCGTGTGTTAAAGAAATGAATATAATGAACATCGATAGTCTATTTTTTGTTAGCAATAAAAAGTAATAAATGCTATCGCTATATATTTAATGATTACTATTACATATTATTTGTTATTCTTCAACTTTAGAACCTCGTATATAATAACAGCTGCAATAATAGCAATAATTATCAAAGCTATTAAAAAGCATATCCATTTCTTTTTTCGAGCCGCTGCAGCACTTTCGTGCGCCTTATCCAACTCATTAGTAGCTTTTCCTAATTTGGTTGTGGTATCAATCGCATTTTGTTCAATATCAATGACTGTCTTATCCTGTGCTTCAACCTGAAGATATAGTTCCTTGAAAAGGGTGGCAAGCTCAGCAACGGTTTCCTCAACACGTTTAATGTCATTGTGTCGTTTTTTTACTTGATCCAACACATCATGGGATTCATTAGTACGTAAAAGTGCTTGTTGAAATACAGGCTGTCCTGATGGACTTGACATATAATCATCAATTTCTTGCTGAGTAGCGTTCGGATTAACTATCTTATATTGTCGAACCGTTCGCTCTGTTTGTTGTTTTATGTATTCATCTTCAGCTCCACGGTATTCATTAAGAATATTAGATAATTTCTCCCTGAGAAATCCGTGTCTTTGCGTTCGTAAAACATAATTAGGATCAGTCTTGGGAAGTCTAACATTTTCATATTCAATCCTTTTAATGCGGTCTTTACTTTCAATAAGGAGCTGTCGGGTCTCATTCATAAGGTTATCACGTTCATGACTTATAGTTTCTACCACATTCGTCGAAGTGGCTACTAGGATATTAGACTGTAATTTTTGAATATTTGTAATATTGGTTTGAATGGTCGTAATATTGTTGTCAATCGCCGTAACCTCGTTCAAAAATGTACCAATATCCATTATTTATTGGCTTATTAATTTTCAAAACCAAAGTGGAAATTGAAATTCAGACACCACGAAAAAAATGGATATCAAACTTTTAATGTTTGATATTCTATATTCTATGTGAGAACGGTGAGTTGAGGTGTAATTTCATCATTAGTTAAAACAAATGCTAATATATATGAGTCTCTGTAGAACGCCATATACATTTTCTGCATCGATCAGCAGATTTATTTGGCTTACTAAAAATTCGGAATTTCCAAAAATATTTTTGGTAAATATGTCAATCATTCTATGTTCAATGACCTAATTTTAAATAGATCGATATATTAATTGTGTCACGTGATACAAACTTTAACGTTAAAATTAGATGTTACCTAGATCCTTTTAAAGGGGTTACAAAAGGGGGCTACCGCTCATTTATTCCTATTTTGAATCGATATAAACCATTTATCGTAATCCCAATCCATTTTTAAGATTAGTGCTCCTCAACGATTAATCGTGACGCATATGATCTGTCATTCGTGTCAGTACGGGTAACAGGAAGGAATTCTATTATAAAAGATCATAATGTTGGAACTGTTCCATTTTTTAAATCAGAGTTTACTTAATTACCATATTTTGCGGAATAAAAATATCCAATACTCCTATTTTCTATCTTTGTTAATCTTGGTAATACGTGCAGTAATATACTAGGAAAATAGAACCTGTCCGAAGAAATATTTTTAACTTAATAGCAATATTAAAATAAAATTACCTACGCAGTCTGGGTCCCATAGCTTATTGGTTAAGCTCCCAGACTCCACAGATAAGGTCAATGTTTCGAGTCGAGCTGAAGGTATTTTGAAAATACTTCCGTAATCTAAAAAAATAAAGGCTATAATCAAATGCGAAGCCTTGTGAAAAGGTTACGAAAAGCACCAGCATAACCAATAATCGAGGGGCAGTCATATGATTTTCGGAAAGTTTTTAACTTTTTGTTTTTTTTACTGGTTTTGAAAAAAATTTGAGTCGCAATTTTTATTTTATTTTTTAAATAAAAGTTACTAGTTATAACAAATATGAAAAAAACAAATTTGACGTTAAATTGTAACAAACAGTAAAATATATATAAATTTCAAATGATATTACAATATATTTTTAAAATTTAGGTAGCAGATAAAAGAATAAATTATATATTAAAAACAGTGAATATAAATTAATACATATTAACAAACAATATCAATTAAGTAATAGTAAATCATATATTAAATTTTCGCAAAACAAAGGTCAATAAAAGTATATATTTATTTTTAAAAAAGCTATTTTTATATTGTAATTTTTTTTAAATTTGAATTTATTTTTAGTTTAACTCTTTACAGTAAATTGGTTATTTTTATATATAATAAAAATTTTTTAAAGTATTTTATATAGTAATTTATTATTTCTCTATTAAATCTTATAATAAATTGGTTTAAAAAATTTAGTATAAAAAAATTTGTTATAAAAGTTTATATATAAAAGCTATAAAAGTTTGTTATAAAAGTTTATATATAAATATTATAAAAATTTTTTATAAAAAAAATTTGTTAAAAAATTATTAAAAAAAAGTTTATTAAAAAAAGTTATTAAAAAAAGTTATTAAAAAGTTTGTTGAAAAGTTAGTTATAAAAAAAAATTCGTTATAAAAAAGTTTGTTAAAAATTTTATTATAAGATTTTAATAAAAAAGCTTAAAAGTATAGCAATCTAGTAAAGTGACAGTTTGTTAACTTTCAAGTAGCAAAGCTAATGTTCAAATTTTATAAATGATAAATTTAAAAATTATATTATATTTGTTTTTTATATTACATTACAACATGTTAGTAGCAGTAAAAAATGAAATATTGGAATATAAAAATGCTTAAGCTATTTTTATATTTTTATATACTTTATCTTATAAATAGAAACAAATAATTAAAATAATATTCTTAAAAAAAATTAAAGTATAAAAAATTTTAAAACTTGCCAATTTAAAAAAAAAATTTAGTTAAAATCATATAATTTTAAAGTTTTTAAGTTTTTACAAATTAAATAAATATTAAATTTTCTTTTTAAAACAGGAATTTTAAAAAAATTAAGAGAATATTTATATTGTAAATACAAAATATTATATTTCAATGAGGTGTGATGACTTAGTAAAGTGGTTATGTTGTTAATTTTCAAGTAATAGGTTGGGTGTTCAAATCTCATCAATGGTAAAAATTTGGATAATCACCTATGTAATATTTGTATTATAGTAACTATTACTAACAATTAGGTTAGAATATCTATAATAGCAGTTGTACTAGCATTACTAGCAGGTTATGAAGCATCTGTGCAATATTGAAATTATATAAAAGAATACAAACTGACAACTGGATGGTGTAAACACTAGATAAGTTTTTGTAATCATATAAATCTGTTGAAATTAGATAACAAGAAGTCTATTTGGAAAAATCCAAATAGAGAGATAGTTGGATTTTCAATAACACTACTATAAAGACTAGTCCAGAAAAACAGATATCTAGGTCTTAGTAACTAAATAAACAAAAACCTCTGAGTTGAAAGTTTCTAAGATATTATCAACTAGGCTGCTAAAATAAACTAAAAAAAAAGATATTGGACTAATCTAATATATTAATAAACTGGTCATAATCCTATACAGACTATCTGAATTGAAAGTCTGACAAAATTTAGAGGTATACTAAAGTATTAAGATTATGCTATGAAGTAGATACTAGGATCTAAATGAACTCTATAAAGCATAGTGATTTAATAGTTAAGACCTGATTGCAAGTATTGGTTTTGCTATAATAATATCTAGGTTAGCTATAAAAATATATACAGAAGATTTTGAGAAGCTTATCTTAAAGATAAATTAGTTTTAAGGTTAAAATAATGATCTGGGCATCTGAGTATAATCTAATAAGTTAATACAGATTATAGGTTCAGAAGATTTAAAGTAAAACACTCAAGCAGAGAAATTAGATATAGCAATTAGTAAGAATCTTCAGATGAACTTCTTAAATAGGTAATATAAAAAAGTTATATATATAGTCAATTGTATGCTCTCCTATAGTAGTTTATTAAATCACAATACCAATAAGTGATTAATAAAAGTCAAAAAATCAAAAAGATCATCTTAATATTAAAAAAATATATATATATTATATTTTATTTCAATTTAAAAATTTTTCATTATATAAATTGCTCAAAAAAGACAATTTCAGTTATTCAGATACAATTGTTTATAAATATAAACTAAAATATAACAAAATTATTTTAATTAAATATTTTTAGTTAATTAGAGTTAGGTATACAATAATTAGATAATTTACAAAACATGAATAAAAGACTGTAACAAGATTTATAAACTTGTTTTGAAAAATAGTTATAGATAGTTTAATAAAAAATAATACAAAAATTAGAAAAGATAAAATTATTGTTAAAATTAATAAATTAAAATTTGAAGCAAATAAAAATTTTTAGGTTTTAAAAATAGTTAAAAGAATAAAATTAAAAAGAAATTTTTTTAAAATAACATAAAATAAAAATGCAAATACTTTAAAAAAATTTATAAAAATATATATATAATTTGAATCTACAATATTTAGTAATAGCTAAAAAGATTATTAAAATTTAAAAAAAATTGAATTTAAATATCAAAAAATAAATTACTCAAAAGCTAAAAAAAATTAGACTTTAAAACAAATTCATACTTAATATGTTGAAGGTTTATAGAAAGATATAAAGATAAATATTTTAAAATAAGATACAGTTAAAGAAAACTTAATTTACATTTAAAAAAATTTTTATTTTAAAAAAAACATAAAGTTAATTTATGAATAGACCTTATTGGTACAATTAAAAATTATAAAACATAATTTTTTTTAAATGTTAAGATGAGTACATGTGACTTAGAATTTTATTAGTAGTATTAGTTGACTAGCATCTGTTAATATAACAGCACAAAGGTGATCATAAAAAGAGTATACAACTAGTTACTTATACAACTTTAGTCATTGTCTAATTTAAGTAGTTCACTTAAAGGTTCTATACTAGTTGCTATACCTAGAACCCATCTGTAGATCCTTTATTTAAACACTCTAATCTCATATTTACTATATCTTATTAATAATTTTAGTAAATTAGTGAAGATATGCTATAGTTACTAAGTCATGTTTAACTTTGTACTAAACCTATCAGTATATTCTGTATCTTATATTTACAGCTTACCTGGTATTATTTTGGTCTAAACTATTACTTGCAGTCAGAGCTAATCATTAAATCACTTTTATCCTTGTAAGGTTCATCTAAAACTCTAGTATTCATCTTTCTGATATCTTCTTTATTATTTTTTACTAACTACTACTTAGGACTGACAGAACTCTCCAAACTTTCAATTCAGATGGCCCAGTATGGTATATCTTAGTATCCTTTTTCTTTAGCAATTCTAGTAATCTAGTTGGTTATATGCTTCTTTATATTGTAATATTATAGATATTTTTAAACATTATTTTATATTATTTTATTGATATTATATTAGTTTTATATTAT